AAAAAAAAAAAAAAAAAAAAAAAAAAAGAGGAAAATATTTTGCGTTAATTTTGGATGTTTCCATAATGCATGGGAATACAACAGGTGAGAGGTGACCACAGCACCCTGCCCTCAAAGGACCCTCTGCAGGTTTGCACTGGGAGGGCTCTGCGGGCCCCTGGCAGTGCTTGGCTTCTTTCAAGGGCTCCTTTGGACACTCTCCTGGCCCTGGGAGGGGCAGCCGTGCTGGCAGCATCGCTGGCACCCTGCCTGAGCCACACTGGGGCTGGGGCACCTCACTGCACTGAGAGCACCTGTGTGCCCTGAGCCTCCCTCTGCTCCGCTGCCGCTTTCACCATCACCCATGAGAAAACAGCTGAGGAAATCAGTGCCTTTCAATTATTACTGTATGTACTGCATATACAAAATCACTGCCAGCTCAGGAATACTTTTGTATTGACTGAAAACCAGTCTTTCTGATCCTTCCACTCCTTTAGTATTTGCAAAAAAAAAAAAATTAAAAAAAATGCATCTTTTCCCCAGCCTCCAGCTGCATCTGGTTGCTTTGTTCAGGCTTTCTTCAGGTTTCTTTCTCAAGAGACTAGTTTTATCTAAAAGGTCAATTCATTCAGCAGGGCACCAAGCAGAATTGAATATAATTATCCCAATCTTTACTGTGTAAAATTCATGCTTGAATTCATTCAAAAAATAGCAAGCAGTATAATTAACTCAGAGTCCAACCAAATCTATTGAGAATGCCTCAGGTATCATACAGTCCCACTTACAATAGAACATTTTCATTTAAGGACATTGTACATATTAACCCTAGTCAGCATCCAATTACTCGGAATAAGTGAATTCTCTGTTTCAGGAATGTAATTTGAAAATGTTGTCATGCAATCTGAGGTAAAAGGTCTTTTTTCATTAATCTAGCTCTCATTAAACTGGAAGCCTGTAGGTTATTTCAAATCCATTAGATTTAAATACAGGTGATTACAATTCTATTGCACATAACAGAAAAGTCTTTTAGGAAATATTGTGTAGTTGATGAGTTTGTGAATTGCCTCATAGTTTTTTTAAAAAATTATCTGACCAGAAAACCCATGGTTACTGTTATTCTGACAATTACATTTATGGCAAAATTAAATTAATTTTCATGTGCAGATGACTTCAAGATAGACAGAACACTTGAAATGGCTAGGAGCTCAAAAACATCCCAATATTCTCATGTAAACTCTTTACCTCCTTTAAATGCAGCAAGTTGTGATATGAGTTTTTTAGAATTTTGTACATGATCTCAAACAGAAACATGGTAATTTTTTATGTAGTGGTCTAGCAAATCAAGCTCTTGGTTTAGTTCAACGTGAGAAATCTGAACTCTGAAGGATTTTGGATTTGCATGAGAGGCCCCTTACAAAGTTTCGTAAGAGAATCTTTTCAGTTCAAAACACACCACACACTGCATCAGCTTAGACAGCAAGCTGCATAATTTCCCCAAAGTCCCAGTCACTCAGCTCCTGATTTACTTGGTTCTATTATTTTCTGTCTCTGTTTGTAACATACTATCATGAAAAGATCTTTAAAAGAATATTTAGCCAGCTCCCTTTCTCTAGAAAGTTCATGTTCAGTGCTGAGCATGTGCAGACTCTGCAGGTGCAGAGCCACAGCTCCAGCTCAGAACCAGAAACATTTCTCTGAATTCTTCCAGCATTTTCCAGCTTGTACCCCCATACCAGATCTTCAGCAGATCTGGAATAACAGTTTTTCTCCTGGAGTTTTCCCCTCCTTGGATTTACTTCTCTGCAGGTTTGGTTTGCAGGCCTACATAGCCTACCTTGCATAAAAGAGTGGCACAGCCCTTCTCTCCCGAGTGCCCCACCACCATCCTCTCTGCGTGGTTCTCCTCATCCACTGCTCAGGGCTCAGCTGAGTTATATTCCACAATGCCTGGCACCTTCTGCCGTGGCACTGCAACACTTTTTGTCATATGGACCACCAGAAATTAGTCTGAAACTTGGAGCCAGACTAAATTACACAGACAGCAAGGGAGCAGTATGTTAGAGCAGAGTTTATGTTCTTTAAAAGACAGATGTGTCCCCGCTGTGATCCACACAGGCCCTGTAAAGCTCTCAGCTGTGCTTTGTTTCACATGAGCCTGCTGATGAGGGGGACTGATGGGTGCTGGAGAGCCCTTTTCCTGCACCTGGCCATCGATCAGACATGCACTTGTGCACATGCACACAGATATTGCACGTGCATACAGCTGACTGCAGCTACCTACTCAAATGCTTTCAACACTGAATCTGTGTTATCCTACCCTCTAACATACATAAGCACTCATACATTGACCCATTCAGAGAAGAACCTTCTAATTCTTACAAAAGGTGAAAAAAAATTTCAAAGTATTTCAAAAGATACTCAGGAGACTTGCAAAATAATGTACGAGATATTTGTTATTAAAAGACATTTTAAATCAGAAATTGAAAAGTACCTAAAAGAAAGTAAACACAGTGAGGCAGAAGCGTGATTCAGCAACAAGAACTTAAATAGAAAATGAAAAGTAAGTCTGGTGTAACTAAAAAAAAAAGAAAAAAAAAAGAGAGAGGGACAAACAAAAAAGATGTCAATGGATGCAGACATATAAATCAAGCGAACTCCAGGCCTAAATGAAGCCAAGATTTCACCCAGAGCTGTGCTAAAGATGGAAAGAAATTAAGACTACAGCCAGCTGGCTATTTCAGACAAGATGGTATTGTAGAAGCTCCAGCAGAACCAGGGACAGAGGGAGACAAAAACCTACCAGCTGCTCTCTGGTCCCTCCCATATCTGAGCCTCTCCCAAGTGCCTGTGCTGCTGCTTTTACAGCTGCTGTTGATTGTGATACTTTCAAACCTCAGTGCCACCCCGAATTTCCACACTGCAGCAAAATGTCCAAGGAATAGAATCTAAAATAAAGTTGCAGAGAGCTGCCCCAGCATTTTCCACAAGTGAGAGTCGTGGGATAGAATTAACTTGTGTGAACTGTCTTTCTTCTGCACTAGAAAAGCCCTACAGACCTGAAGCTTGAAAAATATGCAGTAAGGGACAAGAAAGAGCAGGAACACAGCAAGGTTGCAGGAGAACTCTACCCCAAACCTTCTCTGGGACCTCACCTGAACTAAATATATCATTGTTGCTCAAACACATTCAGCTATTCAGATAGATTTTCATATTTTCTTTGTGTTTTGATATTTTGTTACCAGCCCTTTTTTTTTTTTCTAGTGTCACACACACCTGAAACTGAAATACTTTTTCTCTCCAAATAAGAATGCAGATTTTTTTATTACAGAATGGTAGGCACCATCTCATTCAACCTCTAGATGCTCAGAGACCCAACCAAACTCTTTTTAAGGTCTATTCGTCGTATTACATCAGGACATAGAAAACATTCCAGCACTGACTGCGCTTTCAGTGCTGCATGCAAGCATGTGTTAAAAAGACTTTGTCCCTGAATGCCAGGAGAAAGAGCTGAAGAGAAAAGATTTTATTCTCTAAATCAGAAGAAACATGAAATAATTTTTGAGCTACTCCTTGAAATGTACTATCGAGAGGAATTCCCCATGTTGTCTTGCTCAAAAGTGCTGAACTCTGCAAGACAACATTATAATGAGCACTGAGTTTTAACAAGTTCGTGTTGCAGCTGGGACAGACACGACACACAGAGGATCATCACATCATCTCAGAAAGCTTCAGCCCATACAGAGTAACCCCTTACCTCATCAGAAGGCTTCAGGTGTCTGCCCATACATTGAGCCACCTCAGGAGGCTTCAAGGTGACAAAGCTCCTCTTGCTCTCTAACCCAACCTTTTAACCCCTCACATTGATGCACTGCACCTGTGTGCCCTCTGTTCCCTTTGGGATTGGGCAGTGCCCCTGGGCACTCCATGGCTCATTAACCCCAACGTGATTCACCTGTCCTGCACAGCTGTGCCCACTGGGGATGAGGCTCAGCCCAGCCCCACTCACAGTTACCACAAACTGTGTGCCTACAAGTCAGGACTAGGTAATAAACATGGGTCAGCATTATTTATTATGCTGATCACTAAACATTAAAATTAAAATTCTTTAACTCCCAGACTTTTACCTCACAGTCTGGTTGATTTAATCCAATAAGGACAGAGAGCAGATATTGTCTCTTTTAGAAAGTACTCACACAGCTGGCTCTACCAACATTTTGCTTTTTGAAGTCAATTATCTTTGAGATATATGGAATTACAAATAATCCTCATTACATAGCACAAGAAAAAAAAAATCTAAACTCAAGTATTTAAAAATATCTTATACATCTACAAATAGACTTATATTTTGATCGCTAAGTTGATAAAGCAACAATATGAAGCATATTACCTGTATGTCTATCTACAGATCAAACATTTACACTTCATGTATGTTTTTTGGATTACAAATGCAGGCATTTTATTGTTTCTTGACAAATGAATAATTACCTCTCATTACAAGTTACTATTCAACTTAAACCAGAACCTCTCTCTCCAAACCACCACAATCTTAGCAGCTCTTCCTGGCTTGAAGGTCCAAGGAGGATATCAGCCAGACACAGTGGCATGTTAATCAAACATGAACCCCTGCCAAGAGCTTGTTGCTACACTGGTACTGCAGGAGAACCATCTGTGTCTCACCTGCACGTAGGGGAGATGTGAGACCCTGCAGGGTTCAGTGTCCCTTTGGAGTCCCTGGAGCTGCAGGTGGCACACAGGTGTGTGCAGTGAGTTCTGCAGTGAACATCCATGGGAAGAGTTCAGTGTAGAGGAGGAGGCCAGGAAAAGCTGCTTCAGTTGCATCAGGCACTGTTCAGCTCATCCTTTGGCATTCTGTGTGCAGCAGCCTCCATTCTGCCTCCCTCTCACGAGTCCTAATGAGATAACATCGGCAATCTGCACGGGGCCTGACCTGCTTCCACACCATTTTGTGTTCCAACTCAAGTCACTTTTTTGTTAAATTGCTGCTTTTTACAGATACTCACCTGTGCAAACTCAGAGCTTGGTATTCCAGGCAGATACTCCGAGCAGTGTTCCGCCACTGCGCTCAAGGATTTTCTCTCACGTGTGCATTGCCCACTGGAACATTCATTCATTTCAACAGACACTCCTGATGTGTTTCATAATGTCCAAAAATTTAACATGCCAGGAGTTCAAAGACTGAGGATGACCAAAATGAAGGTCTTCAGGAGGGACAGAAGACCTTCAGAGAAATGTGCATTGAGGTTTTACACCCATTGCGAGGCAGTTCCTGCAGGAAGAGAGAAGCATGTAATGATGAACTATCAAAAGACTCTTGCGTTTGTGCAAAGAGAGAACTGCTATTTAGTTTCAGAAAGATGAGCACAAGGTAACTCTTCACACAAAGAGGATTCAGAGAATGCAGTAAAAATTATTAAAAGAAAGGAAGATTGTAAACTGACCTCACAGAGTCATGGAACAGTGTTGAATATAGAAGATTAGAGGTTGGGTAGCAGAGTACCTCACATCAAAACTGTGTGTGTTTTTATCACTTTATACATGCATTTACTTGCTAAATTTTTGCAACACCAATAAGAAAAAGGTAAAATACACTGTAGGCAAAAATAGCAGCAATGGAGGGAACAGTTTTAACATTAGGGAAAACAAAAAAGCATGCCTGAAAAATGCCAAGAATAATCAAAGAGAGATAGTCAAGGATGCATTATTCTTTCATCTTCCACTTAGCAAGTATCTGTGAGCATTGAAAATGGACATCCCACAAATGTTTCATTTTATTTGCAAAAAAGTGGCCAAAATGATTCAACAATAATCCAGATTCCTTCAGAAGAACAGGAAGACCATGAGTCAGGTCTACCCACTGGAAGCAGGGTACCACAGAAGTGGATCAAAGGCGTGTTGTACATGAAGCCATGAGCTCACCATTCTGTCATCCCAAAAAGCTGCACTCCTGGGCACTGCTGCCTTTCAGCAGAGCAACGACATCCAGTCATCTTGACTGGATTGGGAGCAACAGGGACTCAGTTTACCAGCTGATTGCCACAAAAGCTGTGCCAAGGGTTAACATGTGGAACACATACATACTGTGAAGATCTATGGAATACCACTTAGGTGTAGGAAAAAAGGCACTGTTTTTTCAAAAAGGTACTATTTTCCAGATAAGTTCTGCAAGTTTTCCATAATGTTGATTTTATTTGTCACAGGGGAGAAAATAAAAAATCAGATGTACAGCTTGAGATTTTTTAGGGTGAGGCAAGTTTCAGGGGTCTGATGATTAATGTCTATTTTGTTTGCTCAAGATGAGGCCACAAAATTATCAGCATTCCTTAAATGGTGGAAATAGACTATTTTGGCTTAGTTCTGAGGTGTCTACCTAAAGCCTCCAGGGTAGTTTTTTGCACATACACACACACAGTTCCAATGGCATCTCTTTTGTCCAGAAAGAAAGCTTTGATTGCAATCCACCACAATTCTATAGACAACAGGCAACTTAATCAAATTACATTTCTATAAATTACTCTTCAGACTCACAGACTCCCTACAGTGGTAGATAGCTACTATTTGAATCCCCACAATCTGTGAATACTTTGAATTTTTTTTTAAACATTTATTACACTTGTACTCAGAAACAAACAACTATATGATGACTGGATATTCTGCAAATAAAGTGCACAAGAAGAGAAATCAAATTAATGTAATCAACATTATTCTTCTTTTGAAATTAATGCAAAAAAGAGGCTTTGGTGGTTCAGAAATAATAGCTTTATAATTAAGAATTTGCAAACCTTTGTACAGAAAAGGAGACTGTCAACATGAGCTGCTCTGTATAGTGCATTTTAGAGCACTTTCTCCCCACACCAAAAGAACAATTCTTTTAAGGAAAGAGGATCAATTTTTCAGGTGTGGGTAACTCTTAAAGAAAACAAAGAAAAGTTTTGTTTTCTTTATATTTCAAAAGACCTCTAGAGACCAAAATATACAAACTCAAACATATCTAACCCAGACAGTGAAAGCCTGAGGTTTGATTACAGTGTATTACTCTCACACAGGTTTAAATTAACTGAAGAGGACAAACAAGGAAGAAGAGTTCTTACCACTGATGGAATGAAGGGTCTTTTCTTTAACAAAATAACAGGAGATATCACCTTTCCCTAAGAAGGAGTCATTCACTATAAGCACAATGTGTTATTATTGTGATTTTTAATTGAAATGTAAATTCTGGGAACACTCTGACCTAATTTACTCCCAGAAAAAAAGAGGGCAAAATTCTCATTCTCACAGCTCTATCTAGTCACTTCACCATTATCAACGAGTCTTGGTCAATGGTCTGGGGTTCTACCACTCTGCAAAGCTGACAGTATTTCACAACACTAAGCTATGGCATCTTTACACAGCACTGTTGATTGTTACAGTAAACAACTGCCTGATGCATTTCTTTGATAAAACATTTTTAAGAAATAGTTTTAAAATAGTTGTGAAATGACCAGGCTCTGTGGGCAGGCTATTGACAGCAGCATCAGACTGCAGCAAAGTCTCCCTGGGACTGGGATCTCTCCTGCAAACCTCCTCACTCTCAAGAGTTTAAATCAAATCAGAGCTGATGTTTGCACTCAAAATAACTAAATCAGAGTAATATGGTAGGAATCTGCATTACTGAAAAATTAAACATGGCCTAAGAGAGCCAACAACCACACATAAAAGACACCTTGACAAAGTCATGCTCTTGTTCTCAACATCCAGGTATTACATGAAATCCAAATTTCTAGCGATATAAATGGTAGAAGAAAAGCCTGAATTATCCTAAATTCTCATCCTTTCTGCATATTTTCAGATGTACAGCAAAAATCATAATGTTAATTGTGAACAACAGTCACATTACAATGTACTTATATCCTAACAGGGATAATTATTAGAGCAAGTTTACATAGAAGTCCAGCACTTTCTGCAGAAAGCTGAGGTGAAAATGCAATTTGACAAAAAGGAATAAAATAATTCTGGCAGCAGGAAGATCATTTAGAAGGGTAATAATAATAATAACAACCAAAAAAAAGAGAAAGGATTACTGATCTTGGAAATCCATTGGGCAGGAATTAAACACTATAATCAAATTGTTTTTGCAACCATTTAACATCTCATTTTCTTGCTGTGCAAGCTGAAGAACCACTTGAGACAGGCCATCTTGGAGAGTAACAAAGTGCACCAATAACTAACATGGGATGAAAAGAATATTGATAGCCTGTGACAAGCGGCTTCCTGAGAAATGTTTCTTAGTCAAATAGCAGCAATCATTAAATATATGAGGGTCAGACAATTTAATCTGCTCTTTTTATATGGATTAGTTTAGCAAAGTAACAGAAGAAACAATTAATGCCTCCATAGCTTTTCACGCCATGACACTAGCCCATCATTTTTAAAACAAATACTTGAAAGATTATTTCCTACACTGCTGAATACGGCCACACTCATTTTAGCAGCTATTAATAGCACTGATAAGGACTGACTTTATTATGAGGCACAATTACACATTCCAGAAAATCATTACAGTAAAAGCAGAGACTATTTTTTAAACAAACAGATAACTAAATATTTTTCATAAAGATTTAAACTCCTGTACTTTCCAAACTGAAACTATAATCCTGGAGAGGCTCCACTTCTCTGTGTCATTACAGATTTTGTCATACAATCCAATTTATGCCTAGAGACAGAACACTGGTATCAGTGAAACACAATACTTGAATAAAACATGTTTACTGTTCAAGCATGAAGAAAATACACATAAAAATTCAGGGCAGGAGGCAAAGGAAAATAATCATTACAGTCTATAGAAAACTCCTGTAGACTGAAAAAAATAAGTGCAACCTGTTTGGGAAAAAACCATATCTCATTGTACAACTTAATAAAGAACTACATACAACTAAAAGACAGTTTAAGTCTTCTATTTAGAAAGTCAGGGCACTGGTCCACAAAGAATAACTAAATGAAACCCTAGAAGAATTTCTAACAGATAAAGTATAATTTCAATTTATCCAAGACGTCAGGGTAAGACCCCAGCTCCTGATGGAAAGTGTTACAAGTCATTTTAGGGCAGCCATAAAGCTCTTGCAAGAAGCAGTCAGCTGTCCAAGGCCACCAGACCCCCATCAGCAGCCACAGTCTGATCCAAGGCTGCATTTCCAACCTGCACTGGTACAGAAAGCCTTGCCAGTGCCACTGGGTTTTCCAGGATCTCCTCAGGTAGCTGTTCCTACAGGACACAGCACTTGCATGCACACAGATCCTTCAGTACTTTGCTTTTCTCAGGTGTTTCCCTCTTGGCCCTTTCTGACAGTTGCTTGACAGATGATACAAATTGCCTGACACAGATTTTAAAGTCAGATATTTAAGAAAACGAATTACAGCTGATGTCTTTGGCATAATGCTTTGTGACACAGATAGTTAGGGAGAGTGACACAGCTGGAAAATAATGTAAGTTGAAAGCGCTTGTAACAGCTCAGGATTCAAGGTGACTTTGTGCTATAAATCACTACTTTTATAATTGTTTTGAGATACACTTTCTGGATGAGATACAAAGCCCAGGAGATTCAACAGGTCTGTTTCCAACTGAATTCTTTTTATCAAGCCTACTGAAACTGCAATTCCAAGTCAAAGCATGCTCATCAAAGCTTATACAGAATCACATTTCACAATTATTCTTTCAAATTTTACTCCTTTATTATTGGTTGCTGGTGTATATTTCCACCTCCTTTGTCTTTAAAGATGAAAAAATGTTATTTGAGCTAGAGAGGAAGAGACATCACACACATTTCCACGTCTTTGCATACTCACATAAAGAGCTCCTAGCATGCTGAGCTAAATAAAATTCCTGATACTTTTTTTCCCTGGTTTGTTCAATAGTGCTGTTGGATAAGAGAGGAAAGCAAGTGCATGCCCTTGATGTTATTCAGGTTGGCAGCAACTGACCTGGTGCTATTATTCTGGAAGCTTTCTTGTGCTGGCTATGCATTGCCCCAAAGACATTGGCCACCTACAGCAAAGATGAAAGCACAGGTCCTCTAACTTCAGTTTCACTGATGAAACAAAGCAGAAACAACAAAATACCACCTCCACCTCCACAACTTACCACCACCAGCAGCTCACACTCAACCCCCAAAAATAAATCACTCTGAAGACTGAGTGTAATACAAAGGAAAATGAGGCCAAAGAGCACTCAAGGATTAGGTGATGATAGTGAACTTGACTTTTTTTTTACTTTTGTTTCTTCTTTTTTTTTTT